TCGTAGCCTTCGGAAAAAAGAACAATTATGTCATGACCCTCTACTTTAGAGAGAGAAGGAGCTAAAATATAGGGGATCGAACTAACGTCCGAAGGGCTATTCAACTATGTATTTATTATGTGTTTCGTATGTAGCCCTGTCTTGTCAGAGGGGGTGTCAGTGTGTGAAAATTTCTGATCCCGTTATGACACCCCCTGACAGTCTGACACTGACACTTGACAGTGAGGTCTGAGGAGTGATGACCGAGATTGGCAAATGATTTAACCCGCCCATCTGCATCAGTCCTTATTAGGAATCGTACGAACATACACATTCAAGGAAGCCTAAATAAACGCATACTACTAAATACATACAATCAACATATAAAAAGTTGATGCCAGAGCGCACGGAGAGACACTTCCTCGTCAACATCTGTCATGAGTTTCATGCTGTCGCATCTCGTTCGCACAACATACGCACACTGCAGTACTACAGCACTGACTGGCACTAGATCGCTCTTAAAGCAGCCACAGCTCTCATTCACTACCACACCCATAGCTAGGAGTACACGAAGTCTTTCAAGCACCCTCCACAAGCAACAGGGAATTCCTCGAAGCCTGCTAACCCAAATGTCAGATACCAGTCAAGCGGTCGCTGTTACACCCACTACGAATATAAGCACGGCCAAGAGATACTCCTCTGCTACCAGTATGACGGGCCAAAACTTCTCGTTCAATCAGACCATGGTAGGTACCATGTCAATTGTCCGCCTGTGTGTAAGAAGGATAGTCCCAAGGCGTATGCACGTCGCAAGACTTGTTGACATAGATTTTGCAGTTGGTCCCAGCTATGCAGTCTAACATGATCACACTTTTAGATCCCATTACCCGCGTGGCTTGCTCAACTAATAGTGGCATGTTCTGTAGCTCTGTAGTACTTTGTGGTCACCCCCTGTCATATGTGCCATGGTGGACTGACCCGTTTGTGTACGTTTGTGTACGTTTGTGTATGATATGGTTGTTGATCTCACAAGTAGGTAAACAGGAAACGTAATGTATCGCAGAGCTGTGTAGTATGGCTGTAGAATTTCACCAGTATCGTGAGCATACCAGGCCAACCGACTGTGATCAGGAATTATGACTATATGTCCCCCGTGCTTGTGTCTCAATAATCGCTCAGTACCCTACTCAGTGGCTGTTGTTATACTATACACTACCAACTTGTAGCTATCTCTTGATACTTGTGTGAATGCTTGATGCTTGTGTGAATTCTCACAGAGACCGAGTACTCCACCGCTTACTCACTTCTCGCGTTATAAATTCCCACTTAGATGAGGATCAAAGATCCCAAGAAGTCGGTGGAATTCTACACCAAGTACTTCGATATGACTTTGATGGATGAGCTCCACTACCCGGTAAGTATCCGAAAGATTCACTAACAAATCGTTGAATATGTTAATATTTTATGATCATATGTGCGAGTATATACAAAAGATACATGCAAATCTGTACGCAAATACGTATATATATATATATATATATATATACAATATTCATATCGGTATAAATGTAGATATTGATATGAATATGAATATAGACATC